TATAATAATCTATTTGTGAATTTTTGCAATTCCCTTTTCCTAGGAAATAAATAGTGATGTACAAGTGATAATGCCCTAATTTGCTTGATATTTAAGAAGAAAAACAAGAAAACAAAGCCAGCTTTTTAACTGGCTCTGTTGATGATCTGACATTAAAAAGCAAGGGACCAGAATGCAGTCCTTCAAAGACACATTCACATGGGACCTTTATAATTAAAATTACCGACCAGGTAGACTGTTATGCTTTCATATAACATGAATACTGATCTGAATCTGTATGATAAAATATTTGCTTAAATACATATTAGAAATAATAATTCATATGCCAGCATTTCATGATGAGAGTCTCTTTGAATTAAAATTATTTACATTATGCTGAGATGCATGCAACCCATCTATAACAAATAGACTGAGAAGAAATAAAGTGAACATTTATTTTAAAACAATTGCAAGATGTTTTACATTTCTGCTCAGTATTGAGCAGTGTGATGAAAATGCATTTTTCATAAAACCACATGCAAGGCTTTTTGATGGTGAAAAAATCCACTCACAACAGCCACATGTCTAGGCAAATCCTTAGAAGCTAGTATGGACCCCACACATACATTCCAGAAGAAAAGACATTACTAGAAAGTAGTTTCTCTTGAAGTGAATATGTGTAACCCTACTAGGCCACTTTGATAAATAAATAAAAATCTTTTTTCTTTTCTAGCACAAAACTGGTTCAACTGGAGGGCAAGTTAAACCCAGATTCATATTTTACTTTGTTTTTTCTTTCCCTTTTTTTTCTGGTGTTCACTTGGCTTAGAGGGAGAATTTTTCTTTTCTTTTTTCTTTTTTCTTTTTTTTTTTTTTTAAGAAAAAGAATCATTTGGCTGTGGGTTATCTGAATTTTACCTTCCTGACTTTTCGGCATATCTCTGTGAAACTCCTTTACAAGGACAAAGCCCAGTGTCCTCAGCCAGGATCACTGATGTACAAATCTACACGTCTTTAACTATGGTTTTCTTTCTAAATTGGTGTCATTAAACCAGTACAAAAGATCCTCTGAACACTCTTACATTAGTGCAAAGCTGACTTATTTATCGTAGTACGATCAGACATAAGTTTTATCTAAAGCACTGTTTGAGCCTGGAACTATATTTAACTGTACTCGAAGTCTATTTTACTACCTCCAGCGTCTATCACAAATCCTCCAGTTGTTTCTTTGAAAGACACCGTCTGCTGCCCTTTAGTACTTAGACTAAATTTAGTCTTCTATATCAAGCCTAAATTAGGCCTAAACTAACCCATGGGCTTTTGTGTACCTGCTCTCTTCTTGCCATGCCATGGGGTCATAAGCCTACCTACCTCCTTTTTGGCACTTCTGGCACTCTGACCCCACACTAAAGTGCAGCTAGATTGGCTTTGGCTGTCTTGTAGTCACAGCTTCTAATGTCAAAACTAGACAATGACTAAACCAGGATTTATGTAACGATAACTACATATTTATTGGTTGATTTTTAAGTAAAGTGATGCAAGATGTGTGGACAATTTTCACTTGCTGTGTTTATTATATTCTGAAGGAAACTTGTCCTTCTGTATTTCCTGTTTATTCTATTTTTACTGCATGGAATTAACCAGACCTTAGCTACTTGGATTTATTTTCAGCTTTTAAAAGAAAATCCATATAAAAGTAAAGTTCTAAAAGTAGTAGTTTCACTGGAATAGGTAAAACTACAGTTTTATATAGCTTTTGGCCATGTTCCTTCTCACCTAAGCTTTTCAGGGTAAGAACTGAAAGACAGAGGACAAAAAGTACAAGTTAAGCACATTTTTAGGGATTTATACAATTTTTCTAAGCGAGAACAAAGTCCATAGGAGTCCATAGTTTGTTACATTATAAGCTTGATTTTCATTTTAAGCTTAAACTTTCTCCAGTCTTTTGTATGCAATGGGATAACCTGGCCTATGTTGCAAACCATATCTATAGAGTTTTAGAACCATTTGGTACATTCAAAGTTTTTTTTCTCCTCCTGGGAGCTACTAAATGCGTCCCCTTTCCATAGCAATACTAAGTAAGCGTTCTGTAATTTTAGTTTATTCTCCTGTGCAAGCCAGGGTTAGTCACTAACTTGTTAAATGTTATGACTGATTCAGAAATAAATTTGTAGCTTCACTTTGTAATTCACAGTATTGAGTTTTGTTCTTCATGGTGTCATAGCTGCACTTTGGAAGGAGTCGAATTAAAAAAGATAATTCTTACTTCTAGGTTACACTTCCCTACCTCATCCCCTTACACAAAAAGGTTAAGTGTCTTTTCAAATTAAGGCAGCAGTAATTAACCAGTGGCATTGTTTGTGATTTGCCAACTCTGGGCGTTAATGAGAGAGAAATTAGCACTTATCAGCAGGAGTTCCTGATAGTCAATGGCAAATGCTTAATGTGCCAACAAGTTAATTTTGGTCATAAGTACTGCACTTAAGTGTTTTTTAACAAAAGTATGGTATGTTTTTTATGTGATCAGAAATATGGACTGTGTGGTAGAGCTATAATAGAAGGATTACACAATACAGTGGAAAAAAGTGCAACCTAGGCAGCACAGGGCACATAGTTTTGCTGTAATTACACAGTCAAAAGCAGGATTGATGGATGTTTTCATGCTAAAGATGTACTTGCTCCTGCAATTAACAGTATGCAGATGTTCTTGTATATACATTTTATAATCAAATTTGGCATTTCTGAACATAATTTTTGAAGCACAAAATATTGCTGAAAAATTGTTCTTGAGCTGTGATGATTTGCTAGAAAGACATAAATTAGGCTTTTGAGGAGTCTCTAAATATTAATTTTATTAAAAATTAAATTTAAAAAAATAACAAATTACTTAAGCACAGTGCCTCATGCGTTTTATGATGGATAGGGGATTCAGACTGCCACACAAAGCAAAATGAGCCCTTCAAAACTTGGGCTGAGCAGCTGCTCATTAGCATCAAGGTTTTACCTGGCACAGGCGCTCCTAATGAGTAAGTACTGTGTACGTGTCATAGCTTCTGCCTTGCATAAATAGTCCATTAGAAATGTAAGGTCTGCTCCCTGGCTTCTGGAGTTTTTTGCTTTTAAAATAACTTTAGTTAGTACATAAGTACATCCCCACCCAATTAACCCGTTTCTGTGCTTGGTTGATGTGGGAATAGATAGGTCTGTCTGTGAAATAACAAAAGTGGGCCCATCCTGCATCCGGAAATTAGTGCCTCTCACCAGAGGCAGTGAGCAGCAGTCCTTGGCTTCCCTTGCTGTCTGCTTCTCCGTACTGCTAGGCTAGCTGGCCTCTCTCTTACAGGGAGGTCGTGCACATCTCGGCCCCGCGTGAACTTCAGCAAAGGCAAACAGAGAGCAGTCCTTGGAGACAGCAGAGGCTGAAGTTGTTGACCAGCCAGAGAAAACTTAAGAATTGGGTGTAGGCAGCATCATCCTTCCATATGAGCCAGTTTTTTAGTCTGTTTAGTCAATAATAAACATGTTTCAATATTATAGTTTCATGTTAGCTAGTATAGCTGGATTTGCCAGAGTTTTAACCTTTCTACTTTCAAATATCATCTTTCAGTTGCAAAAAGCACATTTGCCAGTGTTGCCTCAGCTATACTGAGGGGTAATTTACTTTGCCACTAAACTGTGGCCACTTCTAGGCTGAAGAGTAGTAGTAGCCATAAACCAAAATGTTACAATGCTATGCAGCAGTTTTGGGCAAAAGACTACCGTATCTAATTGAAACTGCAGGAGGAAGCCACAGGGGTTTCTTCTTCCTTTGATGCCTGTTCCATTACATGAGCACATCAAATAGAGTTTTCCCCCCATTGTTGGAAAGAAACCACCCTAATGAAGCCAGTCTGGCACTACCCACAGTTTTGAGTGCTTGTATTGTCTGCTAAGTGAACATCTAGGTTACCGTGCGTGCCCCCCAAAGACGGTTTTATTATAATTAAACATTAACAAAAATTGGCAACCATATTGGTTGAGTCCTGAGCACAGCTCTACATATAAACCATTACATGACATTCTATTGAACTTTTTCTTGTACAGACGGTATCTAACAGCTCATCCTGCACTGTTGTTTTTGGCAAGTTCACTACAGCATATAATAAATCAAGGAAAGAAAAAGCTTTTTGGCCTAATGTTGTACAGACTGCTGTAATGTTAGACTACAGAAAGCAGTTCTGTTTTTAGACATCCTTTTACTAACCCAACATTCATAATTTATGATTTCACTGTAAAATTCCTGCAACACTACACCAAAAGTAGTGCTGCCCTTTAATTAAGTGCTCTCAGTAGGAAAAACGTGAAACTGATGTGCAAAACATATCGCAGTACACAGTGATTGATAGTGATTACTTCTTTATGAACCCAGCCTGAAGGTCTGAACTTCCTGATGGGTAAAATAGTCCATGGGGCTACTTCCTGAGATTGCCTAGTGGGGCTCAGTCAGAGTTAGCAATATCTGAGGAATTCCTGAGGCACATTTCAGAGACCTTACAGCACAGACTTTCTGTTTCTTTCTGAATTGTCCTTTATGTTAATAATTACCTGAATAATAGCTTATTGTAGAGATTATATTTTAAGGATTCATTGTTTTCTTCATGGTATTATAATTTGGAAGAACTGGGACTTGCATAAACCCCTGTATTTTTAATGTCTGCATGCTCAAATCTGAAAAAGTACATGGTAAAAGAGACTTCTATATGTATCAAAATTACTAAATGTTATTTAATATTTAAGGCATAGATCTTTTTTTTTATGCAGAGTATTCAAAGGAAAAACAAAACTGATGTGGATTATTTGAGACTCTAAATAGCATTTTTATTAATGGAATCCAGTATTAATGACATATCAATTCAATATTGATTGAAATTTGAAAATTTTGCGGTGAAATTAACAGATTTACTTGTGTTGGATTCACAGAGGGGGGAATGGAAGTTCACTTAGCACAATCACATAAGTTCATTTTCCGTTTTGCTTGATAGATTTGGCCCTGGATTAGTCATCTACTGGTATGGATTTATTGAAGAGCTGGACTGCCATCGTGAACGTGGTATCCTGCTAAAAGACTGCTTTCCTACGGACATTGTGACTCTGCGACACAGCATGGCTCAACTCTGATGTTGGGAGAAAGAGGTAAATCCGGAAGCAACTTTACTTTCCTGCAGTGTAAACTAATGGCAGCATCTGCCCTGAACTCCAGCTGAACTCCTGCTGCCTGCCCTTATGCTACTGCCTCTTTACACAAACATATCAAGAGTTTCTGTTTTGCTTCAGACCTCTGTTGTGATCAGCCAAAAAAGACAGACACAACCCACTCATTATCAGCATTTCTGTCTTTGTCAAACAGCTATTTTTTAGATACTCATAATCTTTCTTCCTTCCGGATGGCTTCTTCTTGCATTCTAAACAAAGACAAAAATGCAGAGGCTGAAAGGTGCAACTTTCAGTTCTTATCCCTGTTACAGAGTCATCTTTAAAAATAAGTGGCTTTTTTATGGTTTCACTCACAAGTTTAGTCAGTGCTAGTGATCTGACTGAAACAGCTACACCGATGTGGAAAATTGGTAAAGACTGTTATTCTGGCACTTAAAACAATATAATGCATAGCTCATAAAGGCCAGGTGGTAAGACAGGATCATAATTTCTGGCTGTTACGGTAAATAGTCAGATTTTGAGAGAAGAATTGGTGTATGTGCTTTGTCACTATCTGATGGCTAAAATCAACAACTGAATCCCAAGTTAACGATTAAAAAATAATCTAAGTTAGGGGATTTTTTTGGGGGGTGAAAGTGAAGAGCAAGGATTTATTTTGTGTATGTGAACCTGTGAAGTTTGGGGTTAGTTTTCTGGGTTTTTTAGTAAGTAGTTTAATGCCTCAAAAATAACTTGTGTTTTGTCTTTTCCTCCCCACCCCCAGGGAATCTATAATTAGGAATTTTTCTCTTAACTGACTTTAAGGAAGGAATCTGTCTTGACCCCCATAGGTACTGTAACATGTAATTTTCTGGTGTACTGAAGTCCGAAAGAACAATGTGCAGGACCTCTCTGTGTGGGTGACTTCTGAAGATTGCCATCTTGGTGTTCAAGAAGGGGAGTAAAAAAAAGATGAAACAGTGCTTCATACTGGATTGGTTCCACAAGACAAATAAAGCACACAAATGGGCATGTTTCCTGCGTCTTTATGTGTCCTTGTGAGAGCACTGTTTTTCTCTTGTTGAAACCACCAATATCAGAGGTACGTTGAGGTGCCTGTTAGCCCTCCTTCAAGTTTTGAGGAGTTCAATCTCATTCTGTTTCCGTCCTCATCGTGCCTCAGGTTTGTGCTCTCAGTTAGAGGTTTCTTAATGATAGCAACTTATTGGGCTTGACACTCTTTAATACTTTTTTGTTTGCTAACTGGCATTCAGAAAAGAATAAAGTATTTTTTAAAGCCAGTGAGAGTTCTGCATGTATGCTCACCATGTTCAGATTTTCAGAGAAGTTAAGCAGCAGTACGGATTCTGTTGTAGAATTAAAGGTGTGATAACAGTCTCCCTAAAGCACAAGATGCTGACCTGTTCCATAAGGAAAGGGTCTTTAAAACACTAGAGTCCATGTTCATCATCTCTTTCAGTTGAGGTGATACTTTGTGTGCCTGTATGATTTCAAAAATCACATGCAGACTTTTTACAGTCTTGCCTTGAGTTAAAAGAAAGGGTATTAATCCTTTTCAGTTTTTTTAGCTACAGTTTTCAGATGTATACACAGTATTTTTATTTAGAATTTTTAGTTCTCACTTTAACACTTTTTGGTAAGTTTCAGTCAGGCCTTTATCATTGTGACTAATTTTTAGTTTTCAGGTAAAAATATCTTTAGTCTTCCTAGTATTCTGTCCCTAGCTGCAGAGAGAAACTAGTATAGCTCCAGTGCAATGAGTTATTGTTGCATAGAGATTATTTTATTGGGTTTGAATATGTTACAATGGAAAGATATATTTTTTAAAAATATTCAAACACCTGTAACTCGTTTATGTTCAACTATTTAAGGTATTGTGCTTAGCTTATTTTACCTGACCAGCTTTAAGGATATGCCTGTAAAGATACACAGTGGCAATCTGTGAAGTGTACCTGCCTGATGCTACACAGAAGCTGCATTTAGGGTGTTGCTGCCCATAGGACGTTTAATTGTGGTTTAGGTTAGTGGAATGTGTGAAATCAAGGAGAGAATAAAAAAGAATAACTGAACATTATTGTAGTGGAAAATTCAGAAGTAATGGTTGTCTGAGTGAAATGGGTTTTAAGGGCAATCTGAATTTGTTTTAGCTATTGCATATGCTTTCTGTTGTATGAAATCATTTAAATCAGCTTTTACATGATGCACTAATGCTGCTTTTTCTTTTTGAATAAATTTAATTTATCTGCACAGATGTTGAAAATTCTGCTCAACCTCCATCAAAGCTTTGCTTTATTTGTTTTTACATTAAACAAATTTATATGGGGACACACAGATAAATCAGGTTAGGCTTGTATTTGTTTATTTATTCCTTTACCTAATGCTGTGACATAACAGGTTAGAAAGCAGTACAGCTGTCTTTAATAAACTTTGACCTCATCTTTATATATTCCTCCCTTTAAGAATCTCTGCATTAGAATGAGGATTAAATAAGCCACAAAAGTGTACATACTGTATTAATTTCATTGCATGCTATTGAACAAGCTTTGCCACCACAAAAATTATGCTGTCACTGTTTTAAATGCTGAAAGCAGAACATTTAAAAAATTAAGATTACTTTGTTATTCCTACTTGTATATTGCAAAAAAACCCTCATTTGTGTATTTTCTGTCTCAGATGTAAACATCAATTTTAATATTAAAGAGGGGAGACTACTGTTTGTTTGTGGGTTGTTTGTTGTTTTTTTTTCTTCAGCAACACTGTAGTCATTAGAACCTTAACATTAAAACCAAATCTCATTTTATGGAGTATTCTGTAGAGTGTGCTAATGAATTATGCCAAGCCAGAAACCAGAAGTGTGCATAAAACTGAATGATGTTCTCACCAGCATATATAAACTTGCAAAGCATCTGCTCTTACAAGCACTGTAATAAGGACTGTTCTGGGCGTTAGGAATTGCTGTAATTGTGTTGAACAGGGAAGTAAAACTTCCTTGTATAGGTGGAACAGCACAATGGTGGGTCACACTCTAGTATAAAAAGAAAACATTTTTTACTATTCCTATATTCTGGGGACATGTTATTAGTATGAGTTCAAT